TGGGTAAAAACAAAAAGGAGATCTGGAGACTCAAGTAGATAAACTGATGCTGTAATTATTTTCTTTTCTCTTTTTCTTTTTTTTTTGAGATGGAGTTTCACTCTTGTTGTTCAAGCTGGAGTGCAATGATGGCACCATCTTGGCTCACTGCAACCTCCGCCTCCCGGGTTCAACTGATTCTCCTGCCTGAGCCTCCTGACTAGCTGGGATTACAGGCATGTGCCACCATGCCTGGCTAATTTTGTATTTTTAGTAGAGATGTGGTTTCTCCATGTTGGTCAGGCTGTTCTTGAATTCCTGACCTCCGGTAATCTGCCTGCCTTGGCCTCCCAAAGTGCTGGGATTACAGGCATGAGCCACCTTGCCCAGCCAAAAAAAAAAAAAAGCACTTTTACACTTTTGGTGTGAATATAAACCAGTGCAACCACTATGTAAAACAGTGTGGAGCCACCACACCCGGCCACAGATAAGACTTTTTAAAAGCCAAGCCCAGCCATGAATTTATACCTCAAATACCTGAGTTGTGTGAATTTCTCTCTTCTTGAGATTTCAAGAGAAACCTTGGACTCCTGAGTTTCTCAGAAAGTGACATTCTTTACTTACCGCAGGTCAGAAATCCTGACCTGCGGTAAATAAAAAATGTCATAGTTCAGAAACTATGTAGACAAGTTTGAGTCCAGTTTCTCCAGGGCTTTTATTGGCTCCAAAAATCAAGTATGGTTCCTTAAGAAAAGAAGATCAGGCTGGGCACGGTGGCTGACACCTGTAATCCCAGCACTTTGGGAGGCCGAGTCAGGCTAATCACAAGGTCAGGAGTTTGACACCAGCCTGGCCAATATGGTGAAAGCCCACTCTACTAAAAATACAAAAAATTAGCCAGGTGTGGTGGCACCCGCCTGTATTCCCAGCTACTCAGGCAGCTGAGGCAGAAGAATCACTTGAACCTGAGAGGTGGAGATTGCAATGAGCTGAAATCATGCCACAGCACTCAAACCTGGGTGACAGAGTGAGACTCTGTCTAAAAAATAAAAATTAAAAAAAGAAAAGAAAGAAAATCATTCCAGCCAAAATCTTGGTAAAATAACCAGTTTCTTCAATTGTGTTCTGTTACTTATAGAAAACAGATTCTTGGCTAGACAGGGTGGCTTATTCCTGTAATCCCATCACTTTAGAGGCCAAGGCAGGCAGATCACTTTAGGTCAGGGATTTGAGACCAGCCTGACCAACATGGAGAAAGTTTGTCTCTACTAAAAATTATGGCCGGGCGTGGTGGCTCATGCCTGTAATCCCAGCACTTTCGGAGGCCGAGGGAGGTGGATCACCTGAGATTGGGAGTTCCAGACCAGCCTGACCAACATGGAAAAACCCCGTATCTACTAAAAATATAAAAATTAGGCAGGTGTGGTAGCTCATGCCTGTAATCCCAGCTACTCAGGAGGCTGAGGCAAAAGAATCATTTGAACCCGGGAGGCAGAAGTTGTGGTGAGCCAAGATTGTGCCATTGCACTCCAGCCTGGGCAACAAGAGCAAAATTCTGTCTCAAAAACAAAAAACAATTAGTCGGGTGTGGTGGCACATGCCTAGCTACTGGGGAGGCTGAGGCAGGAGAATTGCTTCAACCCAAGAAGTGGAGGTTGCTGTGAGCTGAGATTGCGCCAATGCACTCCAGCCTGGACAAGAAGAGTGAAACTTTGTCTCAAAAAAAGAAAGAAAGAAAGATATGTCATAATACTTCTGTGGGCATTTCTCATGACATAAACTTGTATCACCTGGGTGCTGAATCCCAGTATATGTCACAATACACGATGTATGCAGGGCTTAGGCAGAAGAGGAGAATCATAACAGCTAGGTAGTGGGCCCAGCAACACATCACAATCCCTGCTTGGGCAAAGCTCAATCCATAGAGGAGAGCCACATCACCTATGTACTGGGTTCGGCAATGTGTCACACTACACCTTGCAGGGACGGCCCATGCAAGAGTCACATCACCTAAATGATGGGTGCAAAAACATGTCAAAATTCTGTGGGTATGGCTCAGGAAAAATAATAATAACAATTACATGACCTAGGGCTGGACCCAGCTATATCTAACAAACACGTCAGTTGGTAGGGCACAAGCATGAGAGAACAGTCACATCACCTAGCTGCTGGGCTCAGTGATATGTAACAATCCTTTTTTGGCAGGGTCCAGGCAGAAGAGGAGTGTCACCTCACCTAGAGAATAGAATGACAGCTCATAACCATGGGTGGAGCCCATGCAGGAGAGTTGCATTACCTAGGTGTTGAACCCAGTGACATGTCTCCATACACAATGTAGGCAGGTCCTAGGCTGGAGAGGAGAGTCACCTCATCTAGGTTCTTGACAGAGTGATACGTCACGATCTATTTTTAGGTAGAGACCAAACAGTAGGGAAGAGTCACATCACCTAGATGCTGGGCTCAGCAATGTCACAATATCCTGAGAAAAGGGCCCAAACAAAAGAGTCACATCAATTGAGGGTCTCAGAGATATGACACAATGGAACCTGTGGGTGGGGCTCTGGAAGAAGTGTGGAGTCACATAACCCTGGGGCTGGGCCCAGCCGCATGTCAAAATCACCCCAGTGGCTGTTCTTGAATTCCTGACCTCCGGTGATCTGCCTGCCTTGGCCTCCCAAAGTGCTGGGATTATAGGCATGAGCCACCTTGCCCAGCCAAAAAAAAAAAGCACTTTTACACTTTTGGTGTGAATATAAACCAGTGCAATCACTATGTAAAACAGTGTGGAGCCACCACACCCGGCCACAGATAAGACTTTTTAAAAGCCAAGCCCAGCCATGAATTTATACCTCAAATACCTGAGTTGTGTGAATTTCTCTCTTCTTGAGATTTCAAGAGAAACCTTGGACTCCTGAGTTTCTCAGAAAGTGACATTCTTTACTTACCGCAGGTCAGAAATCCTGACCTGCGGTAAGTAAAAAATGTCATAGTTCAGAAACTATGTAGACAAGTTTGAGTCCAGTTTCTCCAGGGCTTTTATTGGCTCCAAAAATCAAGTATGGTTCCTTAAGAAAAGAAGATCACATCATGTAGGTTCTAGGCCAAGATCAGCCTGAGAAACATGGCAGAACATCATCTCTATAAAAATAAAAACTAAAAGCTACAAAAAAACAAAAACAAAAAAACCAGCCAGTGTGGTGGCGAGTGGCTGTAGTACCAGCCACCCGGGGAGCTGAGACTGGAGAATCTTTGGAGCCCAAGGAGGTCCAGGCTGCAGTGAGCCATAATCACACACCTGCACTTCAGCCTAGGTGACAGTGACAAGACCCCATGCAATATATATATTCATGTGTGTGTATATATGTATGCATACACACATATATGTGAAAGAAGAAAGAAATTTAAAACAACAGCAACTTCAGTGTGCAGGAAGGAGCGTAAGAGAGAAAAAACAAAGAAAAACAATAGTGCTGGGTGCGGTGGCTCACGCCTGTAATCCCAGCACTTTGGGAGGCCGAGGCGGGTGGATCACGAGGTCAAGAGATCGAGACCATCCTGGTCAACATGGTGAAACCCCGTCTCTACTAAAAACACAAAAAATTAGTTGGGCATGGTGGCGCGTGCCTGTAATCCCAGCTACTCAGGAGGCTGAGGCAGGAGAATTGCTTGAACCCAGGAGGCGGAGGTTGCAGTGAGCCGAGATCATGCCACTGCACTCCCGCCCGGATAACAAGAGCGAAACTCCGTCTCAAAAAAAAAAAAAAAAAAACAATAGTAACTCAATGTACTATGGAAACAAACTCAAAGTGCGGCGAAGAAAAAAAAAAAAACTCAGAAAGGTCCCCAGAGCTGCAGATACTCTGGAGGCCAAAATGAGAGGATGATCTGGGTGAGCACCGAAGGTGGAGGGCGGGTAAACCATCATCGCACCCTCTACTTAAGCAGTACTGCCACCAAAGCAACTGGACAGCCAGTGGCAGGGCGGAGGCCCACGGGGTTCACCCTACAGGCCGGGTGTGGCCGAGTGCGGCGCGTGGGGCCTGAAGCCGTCCATCCGCAGCCTAACTCCGCCAACCTTCCCTCCCACCGGTTCTCCGACGATGTCTGCTGGTCGGGCACCCACCCGGGTGGCAGAAGGACGGAGAAGGGCTCAAAAGGGGGCAACCGGCCCCTCCTCCCCGCTCCTCCTCCCTGTGGAATGGGAGAGGTCCAGGACCCTGAAGGCCAACCCCCGACCCCACAGCCACCCCGGGACGGGGGCGTCGGGCCACACCCTCCGACACCCGCGCGTCCGCCATTCCCACCACGCTCCCCCAGCCTTGTCCCAGCCCGGGGGACAAGCCAACAGCAGGGTGGGAAGAAGCGGAAACCACAGCGGGTGGACATCAAGTGCCCCGAACCTGCGGCGGTCTCGGAGCAGCACGTGGTTCCTTCGGCGCTCGGAAAGCCCTTGAACGGACGTTCCTGGCCCTGGGAAGATGGCACTGCAAGGTCTCCGACTCTCCATGGGGACTTGAGAAGAAAATCGGCTGGAGCCTCAGACGGCCAGGACCCACGCGGGCTCGCGACCAGGCCTGGAGGGTGTCCCCGGCCCCCTGCGTCATGCCTGGTGGGTCCTGCGGTGATCTGGGGACCAGCCCGGACAGTCCCACACTTGGCTAGTGCCGGAAGTGCCGTGACAGCCTCCTCTCCACAACCCTGCACGCCTGAGTTATGACTCACAGGGAAGGAGACCGAGCTCTGGCACCATCGGGACAGTTCTGCTGAAGGCTGCAGGACTCCCGAGCTCTGCCCAGCTCACATCGAAGACTGTTCCTACCTCGGCAGCTGTCGCTGGAGCTGAGGGACAATAGAACTCTTCAAAGACGACCGCCCAAGCGGGCCACATGCTTTGCGGTCAGCCCAAGCAGCCTCTAGAGAAAGAAGCGTGTACGGCCAAATGGCCGCTAGGTGGCGCCCAACGAGCACCCACGCAATGGTCAGCAGTTTATGGGAAAAAAAAAAGACCGCTAGCCAGACTAACAAAGAAGAAAGGGAAGAAGATTCAAATAAACACAATCAGGAACAATAAGGGGGATATTACCACTGACCCCAGAGAAATAAAGACAACAATCAGAAAATATTATGAAAACTCGATGCACAGAAACTAGGAAATCTAGAAGAAATGAATACACTCCTGGAAGCATACACACTGTCAAGACTGAACCAGGAGGAAACTGAATCCCTGAACAGAACAATAATGAGTTAGAAAATTGAGGCAGTAATAAATAGCCTGCCAATCAATAAAAGTCCTGGACTAGATGAATTCACAGCTGAATTCTCCCAGATGTACAAAGAAGAGCTGGTACTGTTCCTACTGAAATTATTCCAAAAAACTGAAGAGAAGGGACTCCACTCCTCCCCCAACTGATTCTGTGATGCCAGAACCATCTTGACATGAAAACCTGAAAAAGATATAACGAAAAAGAAAGCTTCATGTCAATATCCTTGATGAATTTTGATGCAAACATCTTCAAAAAAAATACTAGCACAGCTAATTCAGCAGCAAATCAAAAACGTATCCACCATGCCCAGGTGGGTTTCATCTCTGGGATGCAAGTTTGGGTCAACATGCCCAAATTAATAAATATGATTCATTACAGAAACTGAACTAGGGACAAAAAACACATGATTATTTCAATAGTTGCAGAAAAGATTTTCATTAAAATTCAACATCTATTTATGTTAAAAATTCTCAATAAATTGGCATTTTTGAAACCTCAAAATAATAAAAGAATTATTTTAAAATTTATACGAAACCAGAAAAAAGACTGAATAGTAAAGGCGATCCTAAGCAAAAATAACAAAGTGGAGGCCTCATGCTACTCAACTTCCAGTTATACCACAGGGCTATGGTAACCAAAACAACATGGTACTGTTGGTAGGTGGATCACCTGAGGTCGGGAGTTCGAGAGCAGCCTGACTAACATGGAGAAACCCTTTCTCTACTAAAAATAGAAAAAATTGGCCAGGCACGGTGGCTCACGCCTGTAATACCAGCACTTTGGGAAGCCGAGGCGGGTGGATCACCAGGTCAAGAGATCAAGACCATCCTGGCCAACATGGTAAAACCCTGTCTCTACTAAAAATTAAAAAATTAGCCAGATGTTTGGCACGCACCTGTAGTCCCCCTACTCAGGAGGCTAAGGCAGAAGAATCGCTTGAACCCGGGAGGCGGAGGTTGTAGTGAGCTGAGACTGCGCCACTGCGCTCCAGCCTGGCGACAGAGCAAGACTCCGTCTGAAATAAATAAATAAATAAATAAAAATACAAAAAATTAGCCAGGTATATTGGTGCATGCCTGTAATCCCAGGTACTAGGAAGACTGAGGCAGGATAATTGCTTGAACCCAGGAGGTGAAGACTGTGGGGACCCAAGATTGCACCGTTGCACTCCAGCCTGGCCAAAAAACAAGAGCAAAACTACACATCAAAAAGAAAGAAAGGAAAGAGAGAGAGGAAGAAACCATGAAAAGAGTATGTCATAACCGAAGTACTGGCAACATAGGTGAAAAACAACACATAGATATTTCTTTTTTTTGAGATGGAGTTTCACTTTTGTTACCCAGGCTGGAGTGCAATGGCACGATCTTGCTCACCGCAACCTCCGCCTCCTGGGTTCAGGCAATTCTCCTGCCTCAGCCTCCCAAGTAGCTGGGATTACAGGCACGCGCCACCATGCCCAGCTAATTTTTTTGTATTTTTAGTAGAGGCGGGTTTTCACCATGTTGACCAGGATGGTCTCGATCTCTTGACCTCGTGATCCACCCGCCTCGGCCTCCCAAAGTGCTGGGATTACAGGCGTGAGCCACCGTGCCCGGCCCAACACATAGACAACAGACATTTGGCTAATTCATGTATAAATTAAGCATCATATTGTCTAAAGTTTAAGATTGAAAATTATTAATTCGATTTATATAAAGCTTTAAAAGTAAACATACAATTAACTGATCTGAAAAAACATACCCCCCCTCAAGAAACACTAATATAGAATTTAAAATAAGAGGGATTTTATTTTATTTTACTTATTTATTTATTTTTTGAGATAGAGTATTCCTCTTGTCACCCAGGCTGGAGTGCAGTGGCACAATCTTGGCTCACTGAAAGCTCTGCCTACTGAGTCAAGCTATTCTCCTGCCTTGGACTCCAAAGTAGCTGGGATAACAGGAGCCCACCACCATGCCTGGCTAATTTTTGTTTTTGTTTTAGTACAGACAAGGTTTCACCATGTTGGCCAGGCTGGTGTCAAACTCCTGACTTTAGGTGACCCACCTGCCTTGAGCACAAGTTCTGGGATTACAGGTGTGAGCCACCACACCCGGCCAAGAGAGATTTTAATGCATAAAATGCTAACTACAGGAACAATCCAAGATGGCCGATCGCTAACATCCCGGGATTGCAGCTCTCAGGGAAGGCGCGGAGAACTAGAGGACGCCACACTTTCAGACAAAGTCTGGTCGCTCACGGAGCAGAAGATCCCCCAGTGGTGGAAACACACGGGTCGCCAGCGCGACTCTCGTGGTCGGCGCAGCGGTTCCGCCAGCACCTCGGCGCGGCAGCTCTCGGAGCAGAGTAAACGGGACCGGTTCCCCTTCTGACCGAGGTTTGGAGCCCCGGGAAGGCAGAGTTGCCTACTACGGACACAAGAAGGAAGCCCGACAGGAGAATCCTGGGCAGAAAAGCACCATCAGTTTTAACGCCGCTGCTCTGGCCCTGGGAACTAACAACCTGGACGTCCACTCAAGAGACCTAATCTGAAAGTTGGTAATTTCAAAGACGACAGGAGGATAAATTTACAATGACGGGAAGAAACCAGCGTAAAAAAGCTGAGAATACTCAAAGTCAGAACGCCTCTCCCTCTAAAGATGATCACAGTTCCACATCAACAATGGAACAAGGCTTGATGGAGAACGAGCGCCTCCTGATGACAGAATCACTCTTCAAGGAATGGATAATAACAAACTTCGGTGAGTTAAAAGAACATGTTGTAGCCCAACGTAAAGAAACTAGGAACTTTGACAAAAGGCTTGATGAAATCCTATTGAGAATAGACAACTTAGAGCGGAGTATGAGTGAATTAATGGAACTGAAGAATACAATACAGGAATTCCGAGAAGTATGCACAGGTTTAAACACTCGAATTGTTCAAGCAGAAGAAGGGATATCAGAGGTCAAAGTCCAACATAACGAAATAAAACGTGAAGAAAAGATTAGAGAAAAAAGGATAAAAAGGAATGAGCAAAGTCTCCAAGAAATGTGGGACTATGTGAAAAGACCAAATTTACGTTTGATAGGTGTACCTGAATGCGACGGAGAGAATGAATCCAAGCTGGAAAATACCCTTCAGGATATTATTCGGGAAAATTTTCCTAAACTAGCAAAGCAGGTCAACATTCAACCCCAGGTAATACAGAGAACACCACAAAGATATTCCTCAAGAAGAGCAACCCCAAGGCACATAATCGTTAGATTCACCAGGGTTGAAACGAAGGAGAGGATACTAAGGGCAGCCAGAGAGAAAGGTCGGATAACCCACAAAGGCAAGCCTATCAGACTTACAGCAGATCTCTCGGCAGAAACTCTACAGGCCAGAAGAGAGTGGGGGCCAATATTCAACATCCTCAAAGAACAGAACCTTCAGCCCAGAATTTCATATCCAGCCAAACTAAGCTTCACAACTGAAGGAAAAATAAAATCTTTTATGAACAAGCAAGAACTCGGAGATTTTATTACCACCAGGCCTGCTTTACAAGAGCTTCTGAAAGAAGCATTACACACAGAAAGAAACAACCAGTATTAGCCTTTCTAAAATACACCAAAAAGTAAAGAGCACCAACATAAAGAAGAATTTACACCAACAAATGGATAAAACAGCCAGTCAACATCAAATGGCAGTAACCCTAAATTTAAATTGACTGAATTCCCAATCAAAAGACACAGCCAAAACCCAACGGCATGTTACATCCAGACCTGTTTCACATGCAAGGATACACAAAGACTCAAAACAAAGGGATGGAGAAAGATTTACCAACCAAATGGAGAGCAAAAATAAATAATAAATAAATAAAAGCAGGAGTTGCAATTCTTGTATCGGATAAAATAGATTTTAAAGCAACAAAGATATAGTGGTAAAAGGATCAATGCAACAACAAGAGCTAACGATCCTAACACCCAGATAGGAGACTTAGATTCAATGAGACAGAAAATTAATAAGGATATCAAGGACTCGAACTCAGATCCGGAACAAGTAAACTTAATAAATATTTATAGAGCTCTCCACTTCAAATACACAAAATATACATTCTTGTCAATACCACATCACACCTACCCATTAGTTTAAATGAAACATTGATTGGCCATTATTAATACCCAATTTTTTTCAAAATAAAGCAGTATTTCCATTTACTCTCCCTCTTTCTCTTCCTCTTTCTTCCTCTCCTTTACTTATTTTTTTTTTTTCTTTCCTTCTCTCAAAAAAAAAGAAATCAACTTGTAAACCTCTAGATCCAGGTCGGCAATGTCTCTTTCATTGCTTGATTTCCTTTCTTCCCTTCCCTCCCTCCCTCCCTCCCTCCCCGCTTCCTCCCTTCCTTCCTTCCTTCATCCCTTCCTTCCTCCCTACCGTCCTTCTTCCCTTCCTTCCTGCCTTCCTCCCCCCACAAAAAAAAAAAAAAAAATGCTAACTACAACATAGATATACTATTAAAAATAATTATTTAGATATCTGCAGTATTTAACTATGTGTACTCATGCAGAGCAGACATTCTGAATCACTGGCATTTACTAAATGGCAGCAAAATTGCTAGGAAAAATGCATCACAATCATTAATAATAGGCTCCAAGGAGAACATTTAATGAATAAATATTAAAAGGACAATAGAAAAATTTCTTTATGGATGGGCACGGTAGCTCACATTTGTAATCCCAGCACTTTGAGAAAGCCAAGGAGGGTATCACCTCAGGTCGGGAGTTTGAGACCAGCCTGACCAACATGGAGAAACCCTGTCTCTACTAAAAATACAAAACTAGCTGCGCATATTGGCACATGTCTGTAATCCCAGCTACTCGGGAGTCTGAGACAGGAGAATCGCTTGAACCCAGGAGGCAGAGGTTGGGGTGAGCCGAGATTGCAACATTGCATTCCAGCCTGGGCAACAGGACTTCATCTAAAAACAAAGAAAAAAAAAAGGAAGTCACTGGATTTCTTTCATTAATGGGTGTGTTTCACTTTCTATTTGAAAATGGCCAACTGTCCTCTGTAGGTGTCCTGATTTGATTTGCTAGTTTAGACCCTGGAGATAGAAGTGAGAAAACACTTGAGCCATATCAGACACCTTTTTTTCAACTGGAGGATATACAGGAATTCTTTAATAATATCTAACACTTTTCTCAGTACCCATTAGATTTAACAGTGATAGCTTGGAGGGAAGGGAGGGGACACAGATGACACAACCTTAGAATTTCACAGTTTTGTTTTAAGTTTTTGTGTTTTGTTTTGGAGACAAGATCTCACTATGGTGCCCAGGCTGGAGTGCAGTGGAACAATCATACCTCCTAATTTGGTTGTAACAGTTCTTTAAAAAATATTTTTGGGGCTGGGCATAGTGGCTCACGCCTGTAATCCCAGCATTTTGGGAGGCGGAGGTGGGCAGATCACAAGTTCCAGACAAGGCTGGCCAACATGGTGAAACCCTGTCTCTACTAAAAATACAACAACAAGCTGTGCGTGGTGGTGTGTGCCTGTAATCTCAGCTATTCAGGAGGCTGAGGCAAGAGAATCACTTGAACTGGAGAGGCAGAGGTTACAGTGAGCTGAGATTGTGCCACCACACTCCAGCCTGGGCAACAAGAGTGAAACTCCATCTCAAAACAACAACAACAAAAACAAAATGAAAGGTGAGTGTGGCTCCTGCAACTCAGTGAGACTGGGTTTTCTTTTTTTTTTTTTTTTTGAGACGGAGTTTCGCTCTTGTTACCCAGACTGGAATGCAATGGCCCGATCTCGGCTCACCGCAACCACCGCCTCCTGGGTTCAGGAAATTCTCCTGCCTCAGCCTCCTGAGTAGCTGGGATTACAAGCATGCGCCACCATGCCCAGCTAATTTTTTGTATTTTTAGTAGAGACGGGGTTTCACTATGTTGACCAGGATGGTCTCAATCTCTTGACCTTGTGATCCACCCGCCTCGGCCTCCCAAAGTGCTGGGATTATAGGCGTGAGCCACCGCGCCCGGCTGTGAGAC